GTGGCCACCTACCCGCCTACCGAGTGAAGTATACCCACTCGAGGCACCCCAAGGTCGACCTCTCTCAAGGCCGACATCACATCTCAACCAAGTCCTCCGAAGAGTGCAACCCGCCAGACGACGGGTACCCAAGGAGAGAGAAGGTCTATACGCGGCATCGGGGTACCCCCTCCGACAGTCGACAGTCCGGTACAGTGAGTGGCTTGGGGCCTCACAACGCAGTTTTGAGAACCCACTCCACCACACTATCACTACGTATAGAGTAGGTGCTTCTGTATTAGTGCTAGAGGTTAAACATTTAAATAATCCTGTTATAAACCTGCTTTGAATAGCACACGAGCTACAGAGTTCTAAATCTTTAAAAAGGAATTAATCGTTAATGCTGGTCTTTTGGAGAATTTGGAACTTACAAATAAAAGGCATAATCTTGTAAAGCTAGTCTTGGGAGGGTAAAGAACCCAAAAACATTCATTCACCGCTTGAAGCTAATCTTCCTCCGCACTTAGTGCATAAGTAGCTTTAATGCAGTAGATCGGCTACAATACGGATATAAAAACGGATAGTGCCTGAAATACCATGACGTCAGTAGCGAAAGTATAGAAGGACAGGCTTAGATGTAGCTTAAGATAGCGAACTAAGGACGATAAATATTTTACTTCACATTTTACCTTCATCCTCAAAAATCATCCACCTTTAAAGTCCAATATCTTAAGACTGAATTGAATGACAATGAATTCAGCACCTTTAAGTTCACGAACTGATAAACACACGCCTCTGCTTGACTGCATCCATAAATATAGATCTCCTTACGCTCAAATTTAAAACCGAACACGTTTATAACGGTAGCTGCGTGAATGGGATACCGGTGGCTGATGCATGCGACGGCTGATAACCACGAAAACAATCTTCATCACGATCATCACTGGGCTCAGTCTTTGAAGGCTTTCCAAAAATGCAGCTGACGAAGCCACGACGAGAAGAGCTTGTATTAAAATGCACATGCATCGCGTGTTTGTTAGTATGCTCCAGGCAAGCGTCAGTTATTTTAAGGTCCAGTTAATTTTTGTATGACTTAGCAAGATTGTTTAATTTAAAGTTACTGCAGTCAAATTAAGCTACTTTGTGGCAAGCAACAGCTATCTTTCGAAGGTTTGAAACACCTCATAGTTAGTTATAATGTATATCTTGCAGAATTCTGTGTGAAATACAAACTAAGGCTTTCTATGAACATTTGTTTAACGCAGGAAGAGCGACTTATTGTATGTCAATATCAATCTTGCATTACCATCGTTTTCGATTTCTCAGCCGAACAAATGGTATAAACCTGAGCAGCGCCGACGTAGGACGGTGCAAACACAAGATTTCTCGTAAGGTTTTATGACTTAAAATGAAATAATGCGCAACAATTATGGTCAGCATGGTAAGCACTTCTGTAGAACACATATGCCTGATGTTTACAGATCGATCCTCACAACTTAATCTTTTGTCATTGGATAAGTTGCGGTGTACACCCAAGCATTTCATGTGAAAGAGGACGGAGAGACTAACTACACTGTACAGGAGGTGTGTATGTACAATACACACCTTTGTGTAACTGCACATAGACAATAGTAGACAGACAGTACTTTTGTATCTCCGCAACGATCGATTGTTTTGCTAAATTTGGCAATGGAGACTGAAATGAAATTACAGTTTAGCGAAATTACAGTGGTTCTTTAATGAATTTTTCGTCGAGAAACCTTAAGTTAAGATTTTGTTAATTTACAAAATATATCCTTTTTCTTTCTAACGAAGACTTGTAGAACAGCGCTTCGGACTTCTTCGCGGCTGACACAAACACGTCAGGCCGCTAGTTATAAACACACGCATTACCTTCTTGATATTTGCATAACTGGCATTAATTAAGTTTATTCTACGCATCATAACACTGACCGGTTCCTAGTGTGGGCATATACAAGGCTACATGCGGTGTGGTTTTCCAGGTGAATAGACTGCCAATACCTTTGGACGTCCACGAGACGCACTAAGTGGCTATTGTGGCAACGGTGGCAGATATCATCTAGATCCCTGCGTTTCTTAGTCGCTAAATTAATCTACTGGTATCCACTGCAAATTCTGGGAGGCTTGTAAACCTAAAAAAAAGGACAAATGCTTTCTGCTGAGACCATGGTGCGTAAAATGTTGAAACCAAATTGATCTGGATTACTAACAACAACCTATAAATTGTTGCTAAAAAACTAATCTAGCTGTTGGCTGCTAAGAATATTGATGCTTGTGCGTTGATGTATATTCGTGTGTGGCAAACCTTGGCGTGTTCTAAAATGATATTCGCTACGTGGAAGTATGTTGGGCTAGGGAGATTAGAAATCTCTTGAAACTTCGTAGATCCAATGGTCTTGTTGTTTAGGACGTTACTCATAGGTTTTGCGTGGTATTTCGACCAGCTGCATGAAACCTCTTGCTAACTTGATTGGTGGCATTTTGCAGCTTCAACAACCAAGCGGTGTAAATGCTAGGAGTGAAGGAGACCGCGAGTTTATTTCCACCATAGTGAGAATGGCCGCAGCAGTAGGTGTTGATGGTTTCACCTCGAGACACATCTTGGCCCGAAAACGGCCTTGTGCAACACGGCGACAATGCTGCCAATTGATGAGCGAACCCCTTCTGGAATAACTCATTGCAATCTCTAGAGCATCCAAGGGCATGTCTAAAGCAAAATTGTCAATAAAACGAGTGTCGTCAATGCTACTACTGGCCACGCGGGTTCCCTTTGACAGTGCACGACTGATGATCTTCCTCCGAGTCTTTCTCATCGTTATGCGATCATTACTTTCGTTGAGGCGAACTAAAGTGACTCTGCTTCGTCTTTGTATTCACCGGCATCGGAATTAAGCGTTTGTAATTCGGATCGAGCAAGTCGGAAATGCTCCTGCAAATGCAGTATGTAGTAATTTATTCCATACCGTGACATACTCCGATGTATTGCTTCGTTAAAGTTTATGTCGATAACACTTCTGTGAGCACGTCCTAGGCCTTGATGGTGCCGAAAGTCTGCAACCTCACCAGGTTCGTAAGTTGTTTGTCATCATGCGCAATAGCTTCTGTCTTTGCCACTGCTAAAACTGCTTCCTCGAATTTCTTGCGGTTTCTTTTCAAATGTCATGATCCCTGCAGTGAAAGCTTCTTAATCAGTAGCACATTGTTTATGTGGCACTCTTGATGCCGAAGCTCCAGAGTTGTTGCGGAATAAAACCACGAAAATGCTAGTTGCACAGTTTTTGCTGCAATTGATTGGAAATGCAGCGCTAACAACGGTCATCGTTGGTTTTGCTTTCATCCGGACCGGCAGTCTTTCAGTAGAGCGTATCTAGCTATTTTTGCGTTATCAATTTACGGGCACCCTATCAGTTCTGTCTGGTTTGTCATTTATTTCCTTTTTTTTCTCGACTTTCAACCGTCTTCGTACAAGCAGCCTACGCTTAGGGTAGATGAAGCATACGAGATCATCACAAGTATAAAGCATGATCGGAAAAAATTGTTTAATCAATAACTTTATTAAGCATGATCTGGGGGCGCGTCGTAGAGAATCATTGTCATCTTACTGAAGGGTATACTTGATATACCATCAAGCTTACGTTGTTTCAACTTTAGTTGTAAACCTTTGCCCCTGCAATGGCCGAACGAGTAGTAATACAGACACTACAATAATGATGAAGAACATATTTCACCACGCTCGCCTTGCGAGCGCACAATATTATCCGAGCGTGGTAATTCTAACAAACGTCATCTTCCGACGAGATGATTTCTTGTACGCCTTAAAGGATCTTGTCTGGATTTACGTCGTTGAGAACCGTTCATTTAACTATTTTGATCTCCTGTGCGCAACAACTTAAGGTGCGCTGCAAGATGTCACCAGGTTTTTTGCATCTTGCTTACCCCCGCGCCAATAAACTACACAACCTGTTTTCAGTTTTGCTTACAAGCAGAAACACAGCATACAAAGTCTACGCTAGGGTACATCGATAAGTTTATTTTATATAAAAAGTTGTGCCTGGCAAAGTTTGTGACCAATCTCATTTATTATGCGTCAACTGGCTGATAGATACCATTTATGCAACATACGCAGAAACAAAATGCATTTGGTGGTAAGAAAGACTACCGCTATTCTTAGACTTTGAAAAGTTGCCAAAACCATACGCAGCATTCACATCATGGCGCAACTTTTTGGACTAGGGGCTGATTTCACCCATCGCGTGTGTTGGATTGTTGGCAGGATTCACACGTGTTTTATTCGGTTTGGGTACACCCGCAAGAGCTTCGTCAGGTTTTACAATGCTCCATCGGTCTAGCCATAGCCACATTAGTATCAGAGAGTACCACACTTTTGGGAGGTCCATTTTCCAATAGTAAAGGAGTAGGTGGAGCCTCAATTGCTAGAGTAGCTTTTAACCTGACATTGGGCGCCGGTGGTGCCACTTGGTTTTAAGCGGGTGGTACCGATTCGGCTTTGGGCGGTTTGGGTTTGGGCGACACTGGTACCGGTTCGGGCTTTCTAACTTTTGTAGATATCGTCCCAATACGCTGGAGCTTTGAGTTCTTTATTAGCTTTACTGAAAATTTTCGGAAGCCATAAAACTTTCTAAGAAGCTAATGCGCTTTCAATGGCACTGCTAGAGGCAAGCATGTCGATTGCTTTGCACCCAATACCATTTTGGACGATGTTATGAGACATCCGCTCTTCGTCGAATGATTCCTGGGCCGGGGTGTTACTGTCGTCAGCTTGACGCAACGATCGATTGTCATGTGCGTTGTGCAATAAATTTCGCGGAAAACCAGCTAGCTCTGATCGAACCCGATTATACAGCCAAACCAAATTCTTCGTCTGGGCGTCGCACTTACTGCAATCAAACATTTTTTACCAAATTGTTCATTCCTCAGTTTGCTTCAACGCATCAATCTACTTCTAATACTTTCTTCAATATTGAACGCGTTGCGACAAAATGAATCTTGTTGCTTCAATCACTGCTGTCATTGCGACTTTTGCCCTAACCGCGTCTGGTAATGTTACCAAAGGTCGACCATGGGGCTACCGACAGAATCCCAATATGGTGCACCCGTCCCAGTGGGCCGATAACTGGGAGTCCTGCGGCAACGCGCGGCAGTATCCCATTAACATCGTCTCGACTGCAAAATCCGTCAAAGTCAAGAGTCTTCCGCTTCGCTTTAGCGGACGTTGCCACGAGTACAATCTATCAGCTCCTCAAAAACCGCTCGAGGCGGACGTTGTTGGAGGTAAGCAAGCACGACTTTGACACGCATCTCTATCATCTCAATCATGATCGATTCTAATGTAACTGATTGTATGTCTACGGAACTGCGCTGGATCGATGAAGGGAGAGGCAAAGAAGAGGTTAACAAGCGTATTCGTATGCTTGATGAATACAATAAAGCTCTAGTCAAACATGCAAAGGCACAGATGCCTTCTTCTGCGCCTTCGCCCATGGCGACTATGGCGCAAGAAGTGGTCCGCCGACCAAAACCCATACAAATGGAAGTCGATAAGCTCGACGGAAAAGAAGGTGACAACCTTATGTTTTGGTTCCAACAGGTTGAGTCGCCTATGTTTATAGCCGACATCACCTATGAACCCGTACTGTGTGGTCTTTGCCACGGGCAAAAAGGTGGTTTAGCCAACCAGTGAGCATTCACATGTGGTGCATCATTGCAAGATGCTGTTCTTACATGGGCCGATCTGAAAGTTCAGATGACCGGCAGTATGCACCGCCAAACCAAGCACATCGTAACCGGTCGCGGTTTTTGGCGTGTCGCCAAGGCAAGCGTGAGTTTGCGGCATATGTACAAGATATGAGAACTCTCATTGCTGCCATGATCATAGACCTTATGCCTGAGGCAGTGACCGTCACGGTCTTCATGGAGGGCCTCCGAGTTGGCGTTGCCAGAACGGAAGTCTTCCGGGTAAACACATCCTTATTCGAGGAAGCTGATGGAGTGGCATGGAATGCCGATACCAACTTTAAGGCCGCTAGGCCTGCCACTTATAACTACTCTTCTGATAGGTGCTGTACCCATGGACTGTAGTCAAGTGGGGATGAAGAAGCTGAGCTTCAAGCTGCGGAGCAGAAAATTGTGCGCAGATGTTATATCTGAAAGAGCACAGGCCATTTGATGGCAACATGCTCTGCAAGAAAGTCATATTCGGCCTCGAAGGTCCGACGCCCTATGGGTAAACCTTCTGGTTTGCCGTGGGGAAACGACAGAACCCAGTAGGCGCGGGGTGCGCTACTGGGGAAGAACTGAGTTCTGTTGAACCTCCAGGAGGTAGAAGCAAACAGGGCCCAGCCCCAAAGAGACCCAAACTCTCAAAAATGGAACGAGAATGCAAGCCAGGCTTGCTAGTCGTCGAAGGACGATTAAGGGCTTTGATAAGCCATGGATCATTTTGATCGATTCGGGGGCATCGGGAAATTATGTGCGCCGTGCCACCGTGGAAGGCAGTCAGAAGTATGCTGAAGCGCTTGTAGCAGTCACAGTTCGCTTAGCAACTGGTACGCGTATTACAGTACCCAAAGTCCCGATGGACTTAAATGTATAGTTCTTGGACTTTAACAGCATGGAACGCTGTTTGGTCTTAGACCTGGATGCGAGGTATGACCTCATCCTAGGCATGGAATGGCTAGAACGTCATGAACCATGGATTGATTGGAGCTCGAAGACCTTAGGTGCAACGCGCAATGCTCCTGGTGGGGCTCTGGGGAGTCATGAATCCACCTCTGCTAGGAAGCAAAAGTGCATTTGGCGCGGATATTGGACCGAGTCGGTCAATAAGTTGGATGTCGGAATATCCGACTTTGTAGGCACTGTGAGTGTCGAGGTCAATAGTCCTGGGCGAGGCCCAAAGACTGTCGATAGTGTGGTTGAGAACCCACTAGATGGCACATATGACGTGTCATGAGAATGATGTTACATCGTTAAACACCGTGAGTGGTGTTGATGGCTGCAAGCCGAGATGTCAGGACATAAGTCCAAGTGACATGAGCGACGAGGAACTGACCCTGGAGGGCCGGGTGAAGTCACAAATGGATGTATTATTTGAGGATAACGAGGTGCAAGCACCTAATGACGAGGTACTGGCCCAAGAGGGTCGGGTGAAGTCAAAAAATGACGGTTGTTTTTAAGGACAACGAGGTGCGAGCACCTCATGACATGGTGCTGACCCTGGAGGGTTAGGTGAAGTCATCAAGGAATTATATCTTTGAATACAACAAGGTGCATGCACCTAATGAAGAGGTACTGGCCCTGGAGGGTCGGGTGAAGTCAGTAAACGAAGCGGTCTTTGACCTTGAGGTGTGTACACCTGTGAACGCTGATGCGTCGGATGCAGAGAGCATCATGAGTAGCGATGATGATATCGTGAGTGACGGTGATAGCAAACAGCTATATACACTCGTCAATGGTTTGACTGGGGATGTTGAAGAGCCGGTGAGCTATACTCTTAGTAAGTGGTCTGTTAGAGCTGGAAGAGTTGTCCTTTGCCGAGTGGCATTGTCTTACAGGCAGGCGACATCGCCGAAGTGGTCGTTATACGACCTGAAGAGGAGTTGAACTCCTTATCGCTTTTGGATAAAGCAGGTATTGAGGATACCAAGAAGGCGATGAATTCACGTAATGGATCGCAGATCCTGAAGGACCCTTCGGATCCTTATTTTCCTTTGTTGAAGGAATATGGAGATGTTGTCTCCAGAGAACATCCGACGATGTTACCTCCGGATAAAGGTGTACGTCATGAAGTTGACTTGATTCCAGGAACCAAATACTGTGTGACGCGACAGTGGCCGCTGCCACGAGAACAATGTGACGTCATTGACGAGTTCTTCGTGCAAAGCACGCAGCTGGCATGGTGCATGAGAGTAAGTCTCCTCACTTTACGCCCATGTTTTGTGTGAGAAAGCCTATGGGAGGTGGCGAATAGTGCATGCTTACAATAAGCTGAATGCAGCCACTATCCCGACTCAAACACCGATTCTTCGCAAGGATGTTCTTCAGAACAGTATGGTGGGATGTACGATGTACAGTGCCCTCGACTTCGTTGATGGATTGCTCATGCGAGCTAGTGATATCCCGCTGACAGCGGTCAGTATTCCGAGCGGTATGCTCTGGGAGTGGTTCGTGATGCCCCAAGGGCTGTATAACGCACCTGCAACGTTCAATCGTCTAGTGACGCAGTTGTTTCGGGTCCATAGGCGTATGCACAAACATACTTTGACGATATATTTGTCCATAGTCGAGCCAAAAACGTCAAGACTGATGTGGAGAATCACATCGAGTACCTGCGACCTGTGCTAGGTTGCATGAGGATGCATGGGTTAGATGCCAATATTGACAAATGCATCTTCGGTGCGGCAGAAATTTTCTTTTTATATTCTTCATTGTGTCTTGAAGTTATGTTTTGCGAAAAAAGAGAGCCAACGAGCCATTCTTTGCGAGAGATGAGGCAACTCTGTCGCTGTGCGTAACGACGCATGATCGATATAGATCACAAACGGCTTTGAGCCCAACAGGTGTACATTGAACTTAACAAGAGCATACTTCATCAAAAGTAGCTCTTTTTCATGAACTGAATAGTTCTTCTCTGCAGCTTTCAGCTGGCGAGACTTAAACGCGATGACGCGTTCTCGACCCTCAGACTTAGCTTGCAAGAGTGCACTGCTAATGGAAAAGTCCGAAGCGTCACAAACGACGCTAAACGGTCGATCAGGATAAGGCCGAGCCAGAATTGGCGCCTGAAGTATACTCTCCTTAATGACTTCAAAAGCGTCGTGGTGTTCGGTGTTCCATTACACCATTTCACATCCTTTTCAAGGAGATTCGACAATGGCCGAGCCAATTCCGCATAGTTGTGCTATACTTGTGCAAGTAGTTTGCTAAACCCAACCACTTCTGGAGGTCCTTCTGGTTCCTCGGAACCGGCCAGTCCACTATGGATTTGACCTTAATAGGGTCTGCCCGGATTCCTCGCTTCACACTGAAGCATCCAAAAAAGGGTATCTCTTTCGCACCGAAGATGTATTTGTCAATATTGGCATCTAACTCATGCATCCTCATGTAACCTAGCACAGGTCGCAGGTACTCGATGTGATTCTCCACATCAGTCTTGACGTTTTTGGCTCGACTATGGACAAATATATCGTCAAAGTATGTTTGTGCATACGCCTATGGACCCGAAACAACTGCGTCACTAGACGATTGAACGTTGCAGGTGCGTTATACAGCCCTTGGGGCATCACGAACCACTCCCAGAGCATACCGCTCGGAATACTGACCGCTGTCAGCGGGATATCACTAGCTCGCATGAGCAATCCATCAACGAAGTCGAGGGCACTGTACATCGTACATCCCACCATACTGTTCTGAAGAACATCCTTGCGAAGAATCGGTGTTTGAGTCGGGATAGTGGCTGCATTCAGCTTATTGTAAGCATGCACTATTCGCCACCTCCCATAGGCTTTCTCACACAAAACATGGGCGTAAAGTGAGGAGACTTACTCTCATGCACCATGCCAGCTGCGTGCTTTGCACGAAGAACTCGTCAATGACGTCACATTGTTCTCGTGGCAGCGGCCACTGTCGCGTCACACAGTATTTGGTTCCTGGAATCAAGTCAACTTCATGACGTACACCTTTATCCGGAGGTAACATCGTCGGATGTTCTCTGGAGACAACATCTCCATATTCCTTCAACAAAGGAAAATAAGGATCCGAAGGGTCCTTCAGGATCTGCGATCCATTACGTGAATTCATCGCCTTCTTGGTATCCTCAATACCTGCTTTATCCAAAAGCGATGAGGAGTTCAACTCCTCTTCAGGTCGTATAACGACCACTTCGGCGATGTCGCCTGCCTGTAAGACAATGCCAAACTCGGCAAAGGACAACTCTTCCAGCTCTAACAGACCACTTACTAAGAGTATAGCTCACCGGCTCTTCAACATCCCCAGTCAAACCATTGACGAGTGTATATAGCTGTTTGCTATCACCGTCACTCACGATATCATCATCGCTACTCATGATGCTCTCTGCATCCGACGCATCAGCGTTCACAGGTGTACACACCTCAAGGTCAAAGACCGCTTCGTTTACTGACTTCACCCGACCCTCCAGGGCCAGTACCTCTTCATTAGGTGCATGCACCTTGTTGTATTCAAAGATATAATTCCTTGATGACTTCACCTAACCCTCCAGGGTCAGCACCATGTCATGAGGTGCTCGCACCTCGTTGTCCTTAAAAACAACCGT